TCATTTCTCTTTCCGCTTAGCTCGATTCAGTGGCAGACAAAGATCCCCACCTCCAGCCTGAGAATCAGATGAGGGTCTGTGTCTGTTTGTTAGGCTTCGATCTGCCCTCCAGGTCTCCTCTGGAGTCTGCAGTGCTGGTTAGTCGCTCTGAGCTCTCAGTGAATCAAAGCTTCAGTAATCATCAGTTAAACTCTGACCTTTCAATGAACTGTGTTTAACTCAGACTCCACCTACACGTGTCATTCCTGTTTCCTGTATTTAAAAAAAGGCCCAGAACGACTGAGGTTAAATAAACGATGGTCACTCACGTTCTGTCCATCATATTGACAGAAAGCCTGTAAAATTACAGGTGCGATCAAAAAGTTCAGCCCATGAAAATATAAACTGGATTTAAACTTTGTCTGATCGCTCCTGCTGGTGCACGCTGGATCTACTCCAGTGTATCGAAACAATGATCCTAGAATATGAACAATAAAGGTTTTTTTTTTTTTTTTTTTTTTTTTTTTTTAAATGAATGAAATTGCAAATCAGTGTGCAAATGGATAATTATCTCAGAGACAAAGTAACCAATGGTTGATAACAACTTACCAATCAAGGCAATTCTTCCTTCAGTTTATTTCCTGGTCATTGCATTAAAGTTTTAAAGGTTCATCTCAGCACTGAGTGCTCATGCTCACATCTCTGCCACTTTTAAACTGGATGTGCATCCAGGGAGCAGCTACATGGACCCATCGTTACCAGAAAGGAGAGAAAATCCTGTTTTCAGTGCACGCTCTGGGTCATGTCCTTCAGATGCTTCAGGATGTTGAAGCAGACTCTGTGCTAACAGTCTGACCCGGGGAAGGAAGTCATGGTGCACAACCCTGCGAGTGTTCCTCACCTTCAGGCAGCTGGCTGGATGTTTGATCTCTGCAAGTGTGAAGTCTGTGCTGAAATCCCAAAATGGATGAGTAATGGGCCAAATTAAAAGCAGGTATGGTAGATTTTATGGACTCATTCCACAAACTTGTTGAACTCTGTGCAGCATCCTTCATTTTAATGAGCTGATTGCATTTCGTGGTTTTTACTGGAGACAAAGCTGCTGAGATGCTTGGATTTTTGAGTCAGCGAAGCCCACATTTATTTGTGTAGGTTGAAGGCTTTACATTCATCTACCAGCCACCTCTCTTTGTTGTCTCCTGCACACGAGCACAGCTGTGACGGAAAGTAATCTCAGAATATAAAGAAGCTGTTCGTCTGCGTGTAATTCCTCTGCTTGATTGCTGCTGTGCCAGCTCGCTCTGATCAAAGATGCGATGAAACTGCACACGTGCTCGTTTGAACCAGTGGTCGTGGTGCTTCAGATAAGCTCTGGAGGTGGTTGATCTCCGTCTGCTACTGAAAACAATCATGTAAATCTTTGTGTTTGCAGCTCCTCCTGCAGCTTCTTATTTGCACCCTCTTTGCTACAGTCTCCCACACACTCGCTGTGATCACATTAAGCCTGGACTCTGGAAATTCACGTGAAACGAGAAAAAAGGTTTTAAAATGCAAATAGTAAGGCGTGAAGAGAGAGCAGTGCTCCCCCGTCCAGAGGAGGTTTGGAGCCAGCAGAGATGCCATCAGCAGCTGGAACCAGTTTGGAATCAGACGGCTCTTTTTGACCACCAAGTTCTCCAGAGACCTTTTTTTAAGCGAGGTTTAGATGTGAGGTTTTTGTTTAAGCATTTTAACCACCTACATACATTATGTGTATAATAATGCTTATATTAGTGTTGACAGGGGTGTATTCAGAAAACAGTACATGATGACTTTGTGTGTGTGGACCAGAATGATGTACCCACACTGTGGTCCACACAGACGTTCTACACACACAGTTCAACACACACAAAAAGAAACTCTGGTGTTGAAACAAAGACTTTCCTGATGAACTGTAAAGTCTTTAAGTGAGATGAGTAGAGGAAATCACCCCCGCTTTGCTGAGTGTGGATGGACCAAACTCTTCAAGCTTTTATCAGCTGTTGGGCGTCTTGACTCCTCGTTTCTGATCTGCAGCCACAGCAGCTCTCTCTTGCTTGCTCGCTCTCTCTCTCTCTCTCTCTCTCACAGTTGAAGAGCTTGAATTTCATCATCCTTAAGTGAAGGTTTGCTGTGGTTGGAATCAAACACAGAAATCTGTTTCTCATTTATTTATTTGTGTAAATGATCCTCTGTGGCTGTGCTTACAGCTAGTGTCCTTGTTTATTTGTGTGCTACGATCACTTTTGTTACATAATACGAGCTTAAAGCGCAGACTCTCTGCATTCGTCTTCAAACTGGAGGAAGGGTTTGGATTTGTGACTCTTATATAATTATACATGTCCCCCTCTTTACAAAGAGCAAGCGTAATTGGACAGTTGACTCAAAAAAAAGAGAAAAGTGTTAGACGCTAAAACGTGGCTGCAGGTGTGTCTGTGTGTATTAGCTGAACCTGCTGATACAGCAGCGATTATAGGTGTAATAAACCGTGACCCTTTCACAGAAGTCAGCACTGCAGAACGAAAACACACACACACACACACACACACACACCCCTCAGAGTGTGAATGAGAAAAAGAACCAGAGAGGAAGAGGAGGATAAGGGTTAAAATGTTACTCAAAGAATCGATGAAGAGCCGTGTGGAGGGATGCTGGGGGAGGGTGCAGAGCCATTGCTGGGATTAAAGAGGAGGTGCAAGGAGTGAAGTAGAGAAGGAGATTAATGTGCTGGTCAGGAAACAGGAGGTGAAGCCTGGGAGAAGCGACTCCCCTCGGCCTGCTCTTTAATCAGTCCTGGAGCTGATTATTCAGCCTGTTGGCCTCCAACGGGCTTCAGGTGGCGTTGTTTCAGGAGAGCCGCTCACACAATCCCATTAGCCACATTTATTCTGTTCCCAGATACGTGGCCCCAACTTTTATCCCCTATCCTTGTTCTTTGGCTCTTTGACATTATTACAAATTTAAATAAAGCTCTGCCAGAATAAATGTCAACACTGGGTTTATTCCCAAGCTTCTAAAGCTTGAAACCATCACAGCTGAGAGCCAAACCCTAACCCAACTCTGACTTCACGCCTCAGTCCTTCCATCATTACAGTGACTCAGGAACATGCAGACAACACGTTTGACTTCATCACTTGTGCTGTCTGATAAAGCTGCAGTCCTTCATGTCATGCTGGTCTGGTTGCACCTCTCAGTTCATCCTCTGTCTGAAACAAGCGTTAGGATGCAGCGTTCTTCTGTTTGGACGCTCCTCACAAACGGGTGGATAGCCATCATGACCAGGTTAAGGACGCCCACCCTCCTTGACATCACTCAGAGCCAACCCATATTGAAAAGATATATAAATCTTGTAAAGTTTGTATCTGTCTTGTGTGAAACTTGTATGAAAAGCATACAAGTGTGAAAACAGATATAAGATCCCTTGAAAAATTATATAAATGAAACTTGCATGTTTTGGATACTTCTTAAAACAATACATGAAAGTAATGAGAAAGTGGCCACTTCATGAGTAAATCATATAAGCCTTATATGATTCACTATATGATGCAAGTCTTTTAGAAGATTTCTTTTCCATATGGGAACAGTGGAACACACGGTGTGCAAACTGACTGAAACAGATGTACTGTGCATGACAGAAATAAGGACACAAGCTTTGGGACTTGACTCACGGACCGTCAGCACAGGGAACCAGGATGTAGTCATAGAAGTAAAACTGGTATTTCAAGGGTGAAGCTTTCTGAATGGGAGTCGGTTGGAGGTTTTAACTCCGTCAGTTTTATTTGGAGGTTTTTCTGCTGTGGCTTCAGCCTTAGTCTGTGACAGTCAAGTTTTTTTAAGACGGAAGTAAAAAAAACTGCTGCCAGGTCAACGTGAAGAACACCGAGGTCTTCACTGCAGTTTGAATAAACCCCTGAATGAAGAGGAGGAGGAAGAATAGGAGGAGGAGGGGTGTAAAAGTTCTGCTTGATGATTGTCGCAGTGTGTTGGCAAACCCTCAACCTCTGCCCAGAAACTCACTTACACACACTTTTCTGTGTGTGTGTGTGTTGACCAGTAGGAACATTCTGGTCAGTCTGAGTTTATCACGTTGGGAAAGAGGTTCAGATTTAAAATCAGCTTTTAATTTGGAATTCGCATTTCGTGGAATTTTGTCAGACTAACACACACACACACACACACACACACACACACACACACACACACACACACACACACACACACACACACACACACCACCTCGACTGGACTGGGTGACAAAATGAGTACACAGATCTGTGTGGATGCCATAATGAGTGGTCCCTGAAATGAGTCCCATAACTCATGAGAGACGATGAAATGAAGGAGCTCATGCGCTAAAATAAAAGCTGACGTCAGCAGGAACTCGAAACACTGGCAGCAGTGTTCCCCTCAATTAACCTCCTTTTACTTTCAGTCTCCACCTCACTTCTTTTAGATTTCTCTTCACATCCTTCTCTTAAATTCTTCACCTCAGAAGTTTATTTCACTTCATGGCTGATGGCGAGTGAGTTGGGATCAGCACATTGATAATGGGACAAATGTAAATCCAGTAGAAGGTCATATTATAAGCCCTCCATTTCCATAGTTTGTCTTCATCATTGAGCGTTTTTCAGTGGTATGTGAAGTTTCTGCCCAAATCTCAGCTGTCTGGACGCCTTTTCTTTCTTTTTCTGCAGGAAATGTGTTTTCAGTCATTTTCAGGCGTCCTGAATTGATTTTTTTCCCCCCATGTCAGCAGATATGATAAGAGAAGCTCTCAGAAACTCCTGCAGGTTGAGCAGCTCTAACCAAACACTTTTATTGCTGACTCTCAAACAAATAAAGATATATTGGATTGACTGTGTGTGAAATAAAATAGAACAAATACTGAGCGAGGTAAGGCGATAAAACTGAGGAAACACAGAAAAACAAGGCATATTTACACAAAAACACCTGGATATATTATATAAACTCGAATACTCTTCTCTTTCTATTTGTACTCTCAGGTGACGGGACGCTCAGAATTTGGGATGTGAAGGGTGCGGCGTGCAGATTGGCCATCCCAGCGCACAAGGCAGAGATCCTCAGCTGTGATTGGTGCAAATATGACCAGGTACAGGCCCTCCAGTTGGTTAAAAGGTTCCATATATTAAATGGCATATTTGGTTTAAAAGATACTTAAAAACAAACAAACAATACATTTAAAAACCTCTATGCCAGCCTTCATTTATACAGAGAAGTGTGTTTGTTTAAATGCATTTTACTATCTGCATCAAACACTAAAATTACATCTGATTTTGTGACCTTTAACCCGGTTAGCTTTGTAAAGATTAGCTGGTGTCTGTCTGCAGAATGTTGTGGCCACAGGTTCAGTGGATTGTACTGTGTGTGTGTGGGACCTGAGGAACATCCGGCAGCCTGTCAATCAACTGCTGGGACACACGTACGCCATCCGCAGACTCAAGGTACACACACACACACACACACACACGTGTTGGGTTTTTATATCTTGTGGGGACGTCTAATTGACATAAAGCTTTCCCTAGCCCCTTACCCCCAACCCTAACCATGAAAAATGTTTTCGCGTCACACACAGACTGCATAAACGGAGACTTTCGGAAACAATGACACATTTTAGTCATATGATGCAGTCATGTGACCAATGAAACTAAGATAGCAGAGGGCATTATAGGGCAGATGTTTTGTTTGCTGTCAATTTTGACGACCCTATTAAAGATTAATATCAGTTTGTACTGATAGCTTTTCTTTAAATTCTTTAATTCTCAAATAACAGAGGTTGAATCGTCTTTAGTTTCATGAATGCGCAATGCAGGAACGTAAGCGTTTCAGCCGTTTCAGTGTGGATGAACAAATGTTCTGAAACGACTGAAAATGATAGTGTGGACGCGGAGCATTTTTAGATGAAAACACCGTTTTCAAATTTATCCGGATTAGTGTAGACGTAGCCTAAGTGTGTGCCGCTGAAGCATATTCACTGTAATCTGCATCAGTGTAATGTCCTCCGTGTGTGTGTGTGTGTGTGTGTGTGTGTGTGTGTGTGTGCGCGCTGGTCGAGATGTAGTGTGAAGTCTGACAGCGTCAAAACACCCAACCAAATGGTGGTAATAAGACCTCACACTCGTGCTACACTGTGTGTGTGTGTGTGCAGTGATGTATGTGCTGTTCACTCACACACACACACACACACACACACACACACACACACACACACACACACAAACACACACAAACACACACACACACACACACACACACACACACGCGCGCACGCACGCACGCACGCACTCTCTTGGAGGACATTACACTGATGCAGATTTCGTGCAGACTTATTGTGGCATCGTCGCTACGTCGTAACCACAGACCTCTCTAAAACACTGCACCGTACCCCGACGTGCACTTCCCTGAAACATAACCACATGTCGTGCCTCTTCACTACTGTCGATTCTGCCACCTTTTCTCTGTGGTTTTTACATTTATCAGTGAGAGAACAACAGGAAAAATAATTATAGCCTCAAAATGAGGACTGACCGATGTCATCAGATTGGGTGGAATGGGCATGAGGGAATGTACGAAGAAGTGGAAAAACTAGACGGACATATGGAGAGCCATTCTCCATAATAAAGCATTCATAACACACACTGGGTCACCAGAACGGGGTAAAAAGGAACATGCTGAGATAAAGTCTGAGAATTTCATATCTAACGAAGCACACAGAAGCGCTCCAGGTTACAGGTTAGCATGTTCACAGCATAATAACCATAAACATTCTGCATTCAATAACGCGGAGTCTGCTTAGACTCATTCATTCCCAATAACTGTGATCCTCATTAGGGATAAACTAATATATTGGCCAAACATGGATATCGGCTGATATCATTCCTGTTGACTCTTGGCAGATTCACTGACATTTAAATGTTCAAGAGTCAAGAAAAAAACTCAATGACCTGTTCAGATCAGCCAGGCTGTTATTTTAAAGGTTCAGCCCATCGAGCTGCTGCTGTGGGCTTTTTCAGCACAGCTGTACCCCATCGATCGAGGAGACTTGCTCTGAAACTGCTTGTCACCATTTGCAAATCTGTCAGCTTGTATCGATTCTCTGCAGGGAGCACAAACAAGGTGATCGGCAGCAGGAGCGTAACGAGATAAAAATAAAGCAATGAACAGAGGCGGACCGCGGCGCTTCTGTTCGGCTGTCACATCAAAAATTCACGGTGAGCGAGCGAGTTTCTTACAGACGAGTGATCAGCACGTAATGAACCTCTGACAAAAGAGGAATCCCTGTCTCGAAGTACACAAGTCAGAGCGTGCTCAGTCCGTTTTGCGTACTGCTCTGGCTTTACAGGTGGAAGGCTCCTCACTCAAACTCCAGCCAAACCAAACCTGGGGTAAACTATCAATGGATATTTCACTGTGACCTCACTCACTGGTTTGTTGAGTCCTCATTCAAAGCCTTGATTTTTTTTTTTAAATCGTTTTTCACTACATTGTCCCGGTTGGGCACATAAAGTGTAGTCTGAATGAGATAATGAGGGAATATAAACCCCACAGACACACACATCTGCTAACTGCTGCTAAATAACAGATCAGATGGTAGAATGTCACCAGACTTGTGGACAGTCTGTAAGCTACACCCACCTGTGTCGACTTCTACCTGTCAGGTAAAGCGGCCCCGCCTCGATCTTTAAGCTATACTATGAGGACCGACTCACTGCTGCCGGCAGCCTTAAGTGGACGTCATAGGAAGTGCGGTTTTTGGTGCTTCTGTGATGCCTTTACTTTCCAGCCCTGCCAGCTGCTGCTTGGTTAGCAGTTTCTGAGCAGCTTACCTGCAAACCAAACATTTCTGCTGCATCGTCACAGCTGCCTGGGTTTTACTTTGGTAATAAATGTGTTTGCAAGTAAAGCAGCGTTAAATGAACGTGAAGTGCAGTAAAGAGAAGGATGTTAAACGAGGCCAGGACTCGATATGAAAGGTGAAACTGTCAGATGCAGAGAGGGGAACAAATGAGCGAATAAATTAATTTGGGAGTGCGTCGTCGGTGAAATCGCTCTCTATGGACTCCTCGCAGGCTCTCCGTGTCTCTGCACAAACTGGTGAGCAGAGAAATGCTGCAAACTCTGCTCAGCCTGCCGGAAGCTGTTTTTCTTTCATGATGGAGACGAAAATGTAGTTTTTTTTTGTTTGTTTTTTTGGATGATGGGGACAAACTGGAGCTCAGCATCAGAAACAGTGGCATGTGCATGAAGCACAAACTGAGCAGCGTCTTCTGTTGTTCTGCATATTGTGAAAGGAAAACTGCAGTTATTACTGGCGTTTTTGTAAAACACACACAGTAATTTTTACTTTAAAAGTCTAAAACATTTCAGCACTTTTTCACGTTGTGGTTATTATCTTGTGTGTGCACAGCGGAGCTCGAAGTTCCAACGACACATTGTAAAATGTGTCATTTTTTTCATTTAAACCTTCAAACTGTCAAACATGCCCTACCTCCTTCACCTCCATGCTGATTTAAGGTTAAAAGGTGTGCAGCATGTCCCTCTGGAGGGTTTTTGACTCCCCTTCACATTATTACATATTATTGTTTCTTTGTAATCAGATTATGAATATTTGAGGAAAGCAGCAGGTGTTTGTGATGGAGATTAAAGCTGATAACTTGCTATTCTTCCTTTCTTCCTTTGGAAACATGATCTCAATAAACCGTTTTCCATTTTGTTCCTTTTCCTGCAGTTTTCTCCCTTTGATAAGACTGTGCTGGCGTCCTGCTCGTATGACTTCACTGTCAGGTAAGATCACCTGTGGCGTTTCTCTCTGTTCGACCTGTTTATTTAAGGACCTTTAAACAAGGTTCTCTGCAGCTCAGTGCTGGTAGAACGTTAGGAGCGCTAACAGGCGAGCAAGCATGTGGAACTCATTTTGTTCCACATCATTTTGTGAAAGCTGCTCTACAAGTTTAATGTGTTTGCACAGAGAAATGGAGAGAAAACATTAGAGAGCAAAGCAAAGCATAAACCCCACTGAGCTCATTTACACATTAAACAAAGAAAATAAAGATGCGAACAAATAGTTCAAGATGTTTAAAAATGATGGGCCTGACGTCGCTTTGCTCTTTAGTTATTCAGCTCCGGAGGTTAATGCAGAACATTATTCACAACAGGCGTATTTAGAAATGATTGACGTTGTGAGCTGCAGTGGATGCCAGAAATCAAAAGTTTAATCTGAAATTTGAAACATCTCAAATAAATCAGACTTAAATAAATGAAGAGATCACCTGAGTTCGACGTTTCCTGAAGCTTCGACTTCACTTGAGACAAAATGGACAAAAACACGAGCAAACTCCAACCATCTTCACAGCTCCTTGTGGTTTCCGCTCGTTTTTACCCCCCAGCTGAAAGCCCTGGGTACCAAAGAATGAGTGTGAAAAAGTCCAAATTCCCAGTGAGCCAGTACATCATGTGGAAGAACGAGCATCTATTCTGGACAAATAAACTCCGAGGTCGGCTTTAAGTTACAAAGAGGAATCCAGGTGCCAGCGGTTATTTCAGGGCTGGGGCGTGCAGCATGTGCACGGTGTGGATGACCTACACCTGCAGAGTAATGTTAACATTTCTGCAGAAATGAGTCTCCTCTCTGGGTCTTTAAGATAACCTGTAAAGTTTTTGTCATGCAAATTTGATTCTTTGAAAGGAACTTTCTTTCGAGGTTAAAGGAGCGGCGATGTGATGTGGCCTGCACAGTATTTCTGCTCCTTTCCTTTCAGTTACTGCCAAAGGGAATGGATGGTGTCATCATGGCAGAAGCAACGAGTCAGGACACTGAGGGAGAATTTGCGGTAAAGTTAACCAGTGTGTGAGATGGAGGGACGGACACAGAGGAAGGATGAGCTGCTCCTTTATTGGGCCACAGAGGATGAGTTAATAAAATGTGTAATTTCAAGGGAGACTGCCTCTGTGCTTCTCATGAGAATATATCTGATCCGTCCTCTCTGTCCGCTCGGCTCTTTAAAACCACAGAGGAATCGATGTTGTTCTGTGCGTCTGTCAGGCTGTGCGGGCAGATGATGGATAAACAGATGCAGTAAGATGGATGAAAGGTGAGGTTGCCCTGTTGTCCGGCCTGGAGCAAGACGTTGTTTAACAGTGATTAATCAGTGAAAGGAAAACGAATGAGGAAGCAGTCTGGCAGTCGATGAGTCATTTAAACCACTCAGTAGTTTTTTCTTCTCTAATGTGAGGAATGTGTTTGTTTTGGGGACTGTTGCTCTGACAAAATAACTCATTTGAAGATGTTGCTTCAAGTTCTGAGAAATTCTCAGAGGGGTTCCCAGAGCTGGCCGCAATGTCTTTCGAACCAGGCGGATCACTCTGCCCCGAGATGACCACTTTAGGGTTACGCCCTCTCTGTGACATCATGCAGCTTAACGGGACAGAAACAACTGGTTGACTTGAGTGTTTGGAGCAACCGGAAAGCTGAGGGAGTGTTTAGTTTGCAGGGATGATGTTTTAAGAAGATCCAACGTTGTAACAGTGGATGTACGATGGAAAATGAGTGACAGCGGGTCTCTGCTCATGTTGCTCGATGCATCTCTGTGCTGCACACGCTTAAGAAACGAACAAAAAGCATTCAAACTCTAAGTTTATCTTTAATAAAGACAGGATGTGAAGCTTGTATGCTAATTATGCAGAGCTGCCGGATGGAAGATGATCTAAAATAATTGATTTTTTTTAAGAGACGCAAGCTTCTTTCAGATGCTTTGCTAACAGTGTTAGCATTACATAATGACAGCCAGTGGAGAAGGTGCTGACGTGAGATCCGGTATCTCCAACCGTCCCTGCAGAAGCGATGCTGCTGTGTGGCCTCCACTTATTTTCTCTTCCCTCTGTAGTTTGTGGACAACCTCAGATACGATTATAATAAATACAATGATGATGTTGAGAGGCACAGATGGGAAAGACTCTCATGCTAACATGATATGAAGACAGTTGAATGATTACAAGTATTAAAAGTTGAAATGGGAACTAATTTTAATGCTTTGTTCATTAAATTTATTCTTTATTATACAGAAGATCAGTTTTGGTTGATATGAAGTGTCCTTGATTACAATTATCATGATGAGTGAAGTCTCAAGTTATAAATAAAACTTGGACATAATGACATCCGCCTTTAAAAGTCTAAACGATGTTTCAGATAACACATCTGTAACAAGGTCCATTATGTGGTAATAAGCAGCTGGAGGTAACTAAGAAACCACTATCTGTACCTACAGCATTTTCATATGAAAAATAAATACCAGAATCCGTTCGGACCAAGTTTAGATCGCTTTCAGTCTGGTTTGGCGCTTAATTTTGTCCTTGGCACAAACTTTTCCTTCATGTAGTCTCTCTCTGGTTCCTCTGCCTCTTTAGTTCTTTTCATTTTTTTCTAGTCAGAATCAGCTTTGACCAGAATAAATAAATGATGGATACGCGACCAAGGGAGTTTTTCCTTCCCACTCTTTCTCTGTATTATCATCTTTACAATATAAAGTACTGATGGAGAAACAACGGAGGCAACAGTAGTTGTGATTCGGTGGTATATAAATAAAACTTGTAAACACATTATTTTGGTTTCTTCTGTTTCTTCGTGTGATCCCAGCCCGAGTCCATTATGATTATCCAGTTGTGGAATTGGTTTTGTGCTCTTGGTCTTGTTTTAGATTGACTTTGTTCTTCTTGTGCTTCGCGTCGCCGCGATCAGGGCTCTGTTTGGGTCAGATCGTTGTTCTCGAGAATTTCTTTACGTCTCTGTCTGATTTTGAGTCTGAGTGTCTGCGTAATAGATAAAACATGAAAGTATTTAAAGTGCTTGTATTGCACGGTATAATTTGAGTGTTGAAGTGCTGCTGCCTGTTTGTATTCAGCAAACCTTCCTTGCATATACAAAGTGTTTTTCAGAATTTATTGTCCTAAATCATTTGTAATCGTCACTTTTATGCCAGAAATCTTTCTCTGCAGCCTCGGGGCTTCATTGTAAAGGACGGCAACAGTAAAAACCTTTGTTTGGTGCTTTCTTAGTGTTTCTGTGGATTATTACTGCAGATGCTGACGAGCTCACAGCCGCAAGCAAAAATCTGCTGGAATCTGGCAGGTGTGTGTGTGTGTGTGTGTGTGTGTGTGTGTGTGTCAGGGCAGCCCAGCAGTCTACATAGAGTATCTGAGCCAATTAAAGCTCGGATCAATAAAACACGGGGTCTGACACAGACCCAGCTAACGGCACGTCCCGCTTTGAGCTGTCCGTCTTCCCTTTGGCGTTTTAGCTGTTGTTCCCTCAGTTATGTTTGGCATCTTAAATGTCTGCTGTTTATTTCCGCGGGCTCCCTCTTTCAGCTCGCCACCAATCTTTCCTTTCATCCTTTGTTTGGTGTCTTGTCAGCTGCAGGAGCAATTGAGTCATGCAGAGAAACGTAATTCACCAAATCACGCAGAGCTTAAGATGAAAACACGGCAAAACCAGCAGAGCGGGTCCACTTTGAAACTGTCTTAATACCTGCATGTAATAGGAAAGCAGCTGTTTGTAATCATAAACCCACAAAGAGTGATGAACGGCTCAGCAACATAGAGCTTAAAAGCTCTATGTTGCTCCTAGTTTTGGTATCAAGTCGTTTTTGTAACAGCAGCAGGAAGTAACTGATTGATATCATCCTAGAGGTGATTGATTGACCAAACAGGTGTGTGTGTCTGTGTATGTGTGTGAGCGTGCATTCACATCTTTGTGGGGACCAAAAATTGGAAGTTTACTATGCAAAATCCTGGTCCCCACAAGTTTGAAGACAACTTTGAGACTCAAAATGTGGTTTTATTGACAGAGTTACATTTGGGTTATGGTTAGGTTTAGGCTGAGGGTTAGGCATTCATGTTTCATGGTTAGGGTTAGGAGAAGGGGCTCGGGAAAACATTATGTTAATTAGATGTCCCCACAAGATATGAATACCCGGTGTGTGTGTGTGTGTGTGTGTGTGTGTGTGTGTGTGTGTGTGTGTGTGCTTCTTCAATAGCAACGTGATGCATGTTTGTTTTGCGTTGAATACTCCAAACACAGGATATGAAGACAATTATCACCCATTGTCAGCTGTGTGTGTGTGTGTGTGTGTGTGTGTGTGTGTGTGTGTAAGCATCCCTCAGGTGTGACAGTTGTGGGCTCTAATAACCCCAAAAGGAGGAAACGCCCCTCTTCACATTCAGGTCCACAAGCTCTCACACACACAGCAGTGTGTGTGAGACATTTTCCTCACTTGTTGGTATTTGGGGTCACACTAGAACATCTGTTAGCATTGTTGCTAATGCTCGCTGCGAGCGCTCCGACTGCCTCCATGTCCAAACATTCTGAATTCTGTGCAGGTGTGAATCTGAGCATGAGTTATTGTCTGTCTTTCTGCTGGCCCTCTGTCTCTGGGCAAGCCCTGCAAACTTAGATCAAATAATCAGTTAAGGATGGATTATGGATGTATACATTATTTATGTTTTGGGCACTCATTGTGAAATTTTAATTATTAACATGTTTCATTAATGTCGTAGTCACGGAGGGGAAACAATGGTTTGAGACCGCAGCATGGTCAAAGTCATTGTCTGAAGCAGTTGCTTTGTAGACGGGGAGCAGGTCTACTGCTGTCTGCAAAGCAAATTTGTCAAGGCAATAAAATGCCAATAAGATGGATTCAGTTTCTCAGTTTGTGACTGAATGGGGTCAACTGAGTGGGTGAACTGGTTATTACATGCAGTCTGTTTGTGGTGATAAACTGGTGAAAATC